ACCCACAAATCGTTTCGTCGGATTGGGTTCCTTTGGCACACTATCAACACGATAACAGAAACTCGGTTATAATAGCCCTCACTGATTGAGCAACTTATTAACAAAAAACCTTCCGTACAATTTATGACATATTGTTGATAATTACATTGCTTAAACACATCCGCTGAGCTTTGCTTTTGCTACTTTACCACAATTTTAATCCTTATTTAATAAGCGCGACAAAAATTTAGGCCAAGTATGATTTTATTATTTTTATTATTGAATGCAATTGTGTTTAAAGCGTAAAGCACATTAATTGCATAGAGAGAGAAAAAAAATACTAATATCTAAAACAATAAACAAACGTGGCTTACTTTAGCGTAAATCTACAGTAAACTACAGTGGTTGTCATAAATATCCGGAATTTAATCTCACAAAAAATTTATGTTTACTATTTTGCCGTGTCGCTGGCTACGGGCTCAGCCTCGCGACGCAAGTCGTCGGTGGTAACGGCCAATTGGTCTCCGTATGACATATGCTGTCAAATACAATTACCAATTACTGTATGTAAAATCGCCAACTTAAAGAAGAGATCATCTCCTGTCCTGACAAATTGTAGTCTGAAAGTCAATTGTTGAAAGTCTTTTCTTTTTATTAACCGCAAACTTATTTTCCCTCAAGTATTGCTCGCAAATTCTCGATTTGGGTTGTATCCAGCGAGTAAGAGGGCCGATCAGAAATGTGAGTCAGTTATTTCGCTTGCCTTGTGAATAAAAGAGTTATCCTATTGGAAACGAAACCGACGATTTGCTCTGGAAACGTAAGAAAAAATATGAGTTTCAAGAATTTGTTGTTAGCATTGAAGATTTCGTGAACAAAATTAAGTGCGAATAATCCTTGTGCAGTAAATACACAAACTTTGTAAGGATACTTTGATGTTTCCGTGACTCCCTAGACGATATTTTATTGAGCAGTTTGAAACATTTAAAAAGTTGTCCTGTCGGAGAAAATAGTGTGGAACCAGTTGCCACGGACATGTTTGAGCCCATTCAAGACGAGCAGGAATATAGCCTGTAGAAGAAAAACCCGACGACAAACTTCAAACTTACGAGTTTTTTCAATGTACGCTTAACAATAACCTTATATTAGGATTTTTTTTTGTTTAAAGTCTCCAACTGCGGTAACAATATTGCCGTTCTACACCACTAGACAAGGTGACGGCGTTGTTTAGTTGGGAGTCTTCCAGGTATTGTAAGTGGCACAACACTAGGCCTTTCTTTAGTCGACTATGTGAACTTTGAAAAATCTAATTTCGGCAGGTTTACGAATGTTATTTGCCCAAAACTGGCTTACAACTGTTCTTTGTGCTTCAGGATTTACATTGTTTTTACCAACAAGCAGTTAATGGTAGCGCTTTTGGTTATAATGCATGATACTGTAATACTATTTTTGTATTAGTTATGCTACAGAGGGGTATCAAAAGTATTGCACGGTCGAAATTTAACGTTAACTGATTTAATAAAATTATTAATATGGAACTGCCCATGTGATTCTTATACCATATTTGCCTGTATATTACTTAA